GCCAATGCTATTAAAGACATTAAAATAAATGCACACAATGACTAAGCCAATGCTATTAAAGACATTAAAATAAATGCACACAATGACTAAGCCAATGCTATTAAAGACATTAAAATAAATGCACACAATGACTAAGCCAATGCTATTAAAGACATTAAAATAAATGTACACAATGACTAAGCCAATGCTATTAAAGACATTAAAATAAATGCACACAATGACAAAGCCAATGCTATTAAAGACATTAAAATAAATGCACACAATGACTAAGCCAATGCTATTAAAGACATTAAAATAAATGCACACAATGACAAAGCCAATATATATATTATTATAATCTGTAAATCACTTCAAATCAACATCTTTCTGAACTTTACAGAACTAAGTATGTATTGTGGTAGCAATATTTCCTTATTACTATAACATTTAATTATTATCAAAATACTGTTAAACTCTTTTTTTCACAAGTATTACAGTGAACAAGATAGAAACACCAAGTAATAAAATTACAGAACTAAATAATTACATGATATAACCAATAAAAATGAAAGCAGGCACCACGATGTTCTTCTAAAAACAGAGAGTAAGACAAGCTTTAAGCATGCCATACCTTTTGTTCTTTTGTTAAAAAGTTGCACAGTTCTTCGGGTCCCATAATAGATGCCTTGTTTACAGAGTACCTGGATTTTTCAACAAAAACTATTTTTCAGCTTAAAAGTTTAATAAAGAATTGCAGTTAAAACTTGTTATACACTCTTAATTTAAAAAAAGTAACAGGAGGTATATTTTAGGTTTGTTTTCATATAGTTTAGTTTCATCTTATTTGGCATATATCTCGATCTTTCTCTTAACTTTCATTTCCATGCTGTCTGAAGTTAATTCATCGTACAAGTTCTTGCGTAAGTACTTTACAGCACAAATCGTTCGTAGCAAAATATAAGGATATTTTACATTTGCTGCTCTTACTTACCATAAAAAATCTTTAAACAGTTCATAGCGCTATAAAAAAAAAAGCTATGAATTGTATTTTTATAAAGAAAGGGAAAAGGTGTGAAATATGCAAAGATGAGACAAGCCACAAAGAGGGACATTTCTAAACAAACGATAAGAACCTGTGATTTTAAACCTGCAAATGACTTACTTTTTAAACAGTTTATCCAACTCTGGACGTTTCATAAGAATGTTATAGAATCTCACAAATCCTTCAGGGTTCAAGACAGGTTCACCATTAACTTTAATCTTTTCAAAATTAGCAGCCTAATGGGAACAAAGTATTTATCAAAGAATTCTTATACAAAGTCATATTAAGCTATTCAGTCTTGCACACAAGCCTTAAGCATAGATTAATATAAACATATACCAATGTAAATGAAATAAAATGTTTATGTACAATTACCAGCATTATTATTTAAACATTTAAGAGACAAAATTTCAGTTTGTGATTAAAATATTATTTAAAATTTAGAATTAATTTGTTAACCCAGGAAACAAAATCATAAAAAAATATTTGTATAGTAATGAAATTGAAACAGAAAAATTATAAACAAACATTCTTATTTAAATCATTTATAGAACAATTATAAACATTCCTATCAAACATTAAGTTTGTTCACCAAATATCAACAATACGATTACAGTGCCATGCAAAAGTATTCACCCCCTGCAAAGTTCCCACATTTTGTTGCCATCTGAGGTTGCAATCATGAAACTTTCAAATGGGACCTTATATTTAGAATCTACACAATTTACTTCAAACTGAGAAAGCTTAAAAAATGCTGATATTATGTAAGTAAGTTAGATTTTCATAGAAAATTAGAATATTATCAATTACATAAATATTTAACCCCTTTGCTACAGCAACCCCTAAATCAGTTCAGGTGCAAAATAATAGTTTGAAATGTCACAAAATTAGTGTAGTGGTCTCTATCCGTGTGACATTATTGGTAGGGGGGGGTGAATACTTTTGCAAGGCACTTTATAAATATTTCTATTTAACAGTAAGTTTGTTCACTGAATATCAACAATACAATTATAAATATTTCTATTTAATAGTAAGTTTGTTCACTGAATATCAACAATACAATTATAAATCTTCCTATTTAACAGTAAATTTGTTCACTGAATATCAACAATACAATTATAAATCTTCCTATTTAACAGTAAATTTGTTCACTGAATATCAACAATACAATTATAAATCTTCCTATTTAACAGTAAGTTTGTTCACCAAATATCAACAATACAATTATAAATCTTCCTATTTAACAGTAAGTTTGTTCACCAAATATCAACAATACAATTATAAATCTATTTAACAATAAGTTTGTTCACTAAATATCAACAATACAATTATAAACTTTTGTGTTTAGGAACATGTTTTTACTTCAAATATGAAAAAAAAAAATATATATATATATATATAATCTTCTGTTTGTTTTGTCAAACATTTTTACTTCAGATATCAATGATACAATTATACACTTTTCTGGTTAGTGGTGGGTTTTTACTTTTTTTTATATCAGATATGAGTAGGTATACCATACGGTGTAGATGAAATATGAACTACAGTTTTTTGTTGCTATTTTTTAAAATAATCATATTAGCAGTGAAATGGCAGGCATTTCAAATAATATCTCGCAAATTATGACAAAATAACAATTCTTATTAACCACACAGTAACTAAGATTAAATCAAGATTTGGTTTACAGTTTAAAAAAGTAAAACTGAAATTGGGAAAAATACAATGAATATAAAAAAAATCAAATATCTATTCTATATAATATTTATGGGGTCTTTGAGTCCTTTTTAACTCACCATTCAGTTAATTTAATTAATTTAAACTATCTGGAATAACATTGTGTCATTGCAGTTAATTTATTATTAAATATTATAACTGTTTAATGATTATATTACAGATCTTATTTCTTTTAACCAAATATAAAATTGAAAATATAATCTTTGATGTAGAGACCTAATACACTCTTTGATTCACTACACCCTCTGTTGTAGACTGCAATTTTGCCTAGTTAAGGCTCATCAGTACATCTTGGTTCAGCAAACCAAAGAAATACAGTTAGGCCTCTTATAACAGTGCTGTATTTATATATATTTATGGGACTTTTTAGCCCTTTTCAACTCACCATACAGTATATCTATGGTTTGCTGACAAAAGCTGTGCTGATGAGCTTTAAATACGTGAAACTGCAGTTCACAGCAGAGGGAGCAGCAAATTAAATAAATCATTAGGCCTTTTTCGTCACAGCCTGTACTTTCCATTTTACCTTTGGTGAAAAGAAAAATGTGTAATAAAATTAAATTTTGCTAACTCCTTATTTAAGTATCTTAATTTATTACACAGGTTAATTATCATGAGTTTATTCTTAACTCAAGAATCAAAGTTTTAGATTTGTAACAACCAAGAATTACAACCAATTGTCCCGATTTTTTAAACTGTCATGATATTTGAATTGTTTAGTCAGGTTGTATAAATGGATCGAGATGAAATTACAAATAATCCATTCTCTGTCGTATAATATTCTGGATAAATAAAGATGTTTAAAATATTTTAGTCTCTACTTCAACATCTTTAACTTCAAGAAACATGGGGAAAGAAAATTGGCAGACAAAATTAACACAATTAAAAATTTTTTAAATTAAAAGCAGCAAAGTATAGTGAAGCTAATGAACAGTTAAAGAACGTTTTAGTAACCTAGCATTACCTATGCAACAGTCAATGAACCCAGTACATGAATAAGTAAGGAAACATCATAATATATTTCCCATTGTGCTCTCACTTACCCATATTTTTTGTAACAATCAACAAAGATAACGTAAATACTTACATCAAAAAGAATTTTGGCATGTATTTCCTCTATGGAAACATTAATCTGAGATAGAAATTCAAGACATTCCTTGAAGTTCAGGATTCCATTGTTATCTTTATCTGCTTTTCTAAAGCGTTCCTTGAGCCACCTACAAAGATATATCAAAATTATTACACACATTTTATCAAATCATGTTAGTTTAACCATCCATAAAAAGGGCATGATAAAATATTTAATATTTCTTTTTGCCAAAGATTTTTTGGTGAAAAATAAATATGATTAAGCACTCAACTCCTAACCCTTAACTGATTTTCAATAGCTGCTGGCTAATTTGACATCAGTGTCTAGATGTTGTCTGATAGATGGAATATCCTCAATGCATTTGGGTTTGGGTGTTATGACCAGAGATATTATCCATTATGATTTAATATTGACATTAGGACTGAAAATAATTGTTTTGAGAGAGAGAGATACCCATAAATATAATATCATGTAATGAGAAATTTGGCATAATTTTTTTTATTGTACACAGCTAGTTTTTATCTCAAATATTGCTTTAGTTTTAAATACATATTCTAGCTCTGTCATAGTTTAAACAGTTCTTACAAGAAACAATATGAAAATCATATAAAATTGTTTACTATTAAGAAAAAAAAATTTTCAAAGAAAATATAAAACATGCAGTTACTGCTTTTTCTATCAAAACAGTCTTTTTAAATCCTCATTTATGATATATCACTAAGCATTGTAGTGCTTAGTATGTAGGGATGGCACAGAAAAAATGGCCAAAACAAATCTCTCTTATAACAATGAAAGACTTTTATAAACACCTAACTTAGGCTTTTAAGGTTTTCAAAAGCTGTTAAAACCCTCAGTTTAGCCAAAAAACTTTGCTAAAGTAAAGTAGAGAACCGGTTAGTAGTGTAACAGCCAAATGTTCTGCTGATTATTCTGACTATGGCTTGAGAAGAGCTAGCTCACCAATACTTAAATTCATTGTGATTATTTACACAGCAAGATGTTGCCACTTACATTGTGGAGTGCAGAAGCAGTATAGCATTTCACTAACTTCAACACATGATTGATGTCCATCAAATGAACTTGTCATATCAGTCTAAAACTGCTGTCTTTATAGCCATTCATTATAAAATATTCACTGGTATTGTTTAAAGAAATGAGTAATAAAAACAATTTTCAAAAAATAAGGATGATGTTGGGATGGCAATGTCAAAAAGTACAAAAACAAGGTAGGGATGAATACACAAAACCATACAAAACTCCCTACATAAGTAGCCACTAAGTCAATGTTACAAACTTATGAGAATTAGCCATTGTAAGACTTTATAGCATTATTCAATTTAAATGCTTTTATTCAAACTTGAATTCATGCAACTGAGAGGAATTCAACATTTAGTTCTAGATAAAACATTTTCTTGGAAATATTTGGCTACTTACATATGGATTTTGTTATATTCATCCCTACCTTTTTTCTGTACTTTTTGGCACTGCTATCTCTACTACATCTGTATTTTTTCAAAATTTATTTCATTACTTGTCAAGATTCACATGCTTTAGCATTTATGACCAATAACAGTGTAAAAGATAAATGAATAGTATAAGACGATGGAGATATTTACGTGCATTGCTCAAATGTTGAAAAAATTTGAATGCATTCAGAAAAAGCTAAGTATGCATCTATACTGTAGTCAAAATAACACATAAAAGTCATAGAATATATTTATATTGCAAATCACTAACTAGTAGTATGAATGAAAATTTATATATATACAAATATTTCTGTGTCACTTCTATTATATCACTTGATAAAAAAGAAAAAATATATCCTCATCATCTACTATTATAAAATTATTTTTTGGTATCACTGGATTTACTATGGAGCTACCAGTAATTTTTGATGGACTTTGAGTTTGAGAAAACTATTAATAGGAGTGTTTTGGATAGTGGTCCTTTAAAATGTCAACATATTTTAGTCTATGCTATTATAGATGATTTGTTTTTTAACTCACTGCCGTGTTCTCTCGTCCAAAGATGTAACTACTAGTTACTACCAAATCTAGGCTAACAAGAACGTTACAAAAATAAATAAATAAAAGTTGCTGTAATTTGTAAATTGTAATGTTACTTTGTAGACCCCCTCCCCGTTAGTAACATTAATTTCAATTTTTAATATTATTTAGTTTTGTTGCTATTGAATTTTAAAGTAAAGCAATTTTGCAATCATCATAATCACACATACTAAGTTATTAAACTTTAGAGAAGATTAACCATTCTGACATTACTTGTTTATATTCATTGTTATTGTATATTCAGGCTAGTCTTTAATTACTTCATTAATTTCATTCTTAATTTTAGTCTTTGCTGCCCTTTTTATCCTCGTGACATCTGTTTAAGTTAATTTTATTTATATATACTTTATAATTTATTGTCGTAATATTGTGTTAATTTGTAATTCGATGAAAATATTTTTGGTTACATAATCAATTCATATCTTACCTTGGCTGATTTAACTTTTCATAAACATCAAAAACCATATACAATATTTCACATTCACAAACACTAAAAGTTAAAATAAACTTCCACGCCTATCTACACCCTAAGGTTAAGAATTATCCTGTACTTTGAAAATAACCACACTTTTCACACAAATTACACAATGTACGACAACCTGACTTTGAGCAAACAAACACTGTGTTCGATTTACGACATAAGTGTGCTTCGGAACTACATGATTTTTATTTTTCATAAGGTACAAAACAAAATAAATTACTCTTACAAAGTTTAATTTAAAGTATTAAAAATGCAAAAAATATTAGAGCAAAAGAGTAGTTAGTCACTATATTAATTTTCATTTATGTATGGTGCCTAAGGCAAGCAAAATTATGTAAACAAAAAAATATATATATATATTTCGGTCCGTCCACAAGTCACAAACAAAAGACTCTAACAAAATGTTATTTTTCAAAATTATATGAATATTATACTTATATGATTCTGAAAGTATTGTTTTGTGTTGTTAGGTCATCCACAAAAAATCATATAATTTGTTATTTCAATTTCTAACTGTTCTTTATTCTGTGATAAACAAAAGACATTTGTGAAAACAGAAAAAAATGTCACTCTACATAAAAAAAATATAGGTATTTTTACAGACATATAATTACTTAGTAAGCTGAGTAAAAAACCTTGCATGCGTGTTACAAAAGCTAGGTACTTTTGTTCGATGCTGGACTCACATGGCCAGGTGGTGAGTAAGCTCGGGTTCGAATCCCCGTCCCACCAAATATGCTCCCCTTTCAGCCATGGGTGCGTTATAAGTGACGGTCAATCCCACTAGTCGTTGGTAAAAGAGTAACCCAAGAGTTGACGATGGGTGGTGTTGACTAGCTGTCTTCCCTCTAGTCTTACACTGCTAAATTAGGTACGGCTAGCATAGATAACTCTCGTGTAACTTTGCGCGAAATTCAAAACAAACCTGTTCGATGCCGTATAATTAGTGTAGTATAATTAATTCAGTATCATTACCATACAGTTAAAGCTTATAATGCTTATTTCAAATTTTGTTTTGTGGTATAAAATTCGATAATAATAGTATTACAGGAACTGATCCGAAAATATGTAACAATTTCTTTAATTATTAATTTTGTAAGCAACCTTTTGGCTGTGTGCCTACTTTTAGTTTAATGAAATAAACAAAGATTCACAGCACTTTCTCATAAAGTTTTCCATCACCTCACCCCCACCATCACACACATATGCTTCCTCAAGTTGTAAGTCTCAAAGAAAAAACAGTACAATTGTGATTTGCGTGCATGTAATATATATTGTTACGTCTCTGATCATTTGTTAATTTCCGGTATAAATTCTTCCCGAGGAACTTCAGCGATACAAGTTCTTTCTTATTCTTTCTCAATACAACTTTGCAATGCACAGAATTTCCACAGTCAATTTAACTTAAACACACACTATAATTCACAACGATTCACGCACTTTACTTAAGGTCACTACCGCTCGCTTGTTTCTATATCTATCTATCTGCAATTATTTGCCGGGCTTATATATTAAAATAGAGGGCGCCTGGAAAAGACTAGAGTTGCCAGGAAAAGTCACGATCCTTCGAAAATCTCATCACGTGTCTTTCGCTGTCATAACAATATTTTGTATCTGCTTTAGTTATAGAAGAATAAAAATGCTTTGTTCTCTGTAGTAGATAATGTCTGATATGTCCGAGAGGATATTGCAGTAACATATAGCATCTGGGTTGAATGGATTAGCGTCTGTGATACATTTTCCTGATCAACTTGACGTTTTAAAAATGTAATAGCTCACCAATGCTGTCAGAAAACAATAGTCAAGAAGTGAGGTTGTCAAGTGAACAAAGAAACCGGGCTTACTTGTTGAATCCAGGCGAGCTATTTTATTTCACTTCTACCAGAAAATCATCGAGTGAAGATCGTATTTGAAAATCATCGTGTTTTTGTTCTACAGATTTGTTATTTTTCACTATGTATTTCTCCACCTCTGATTTGAGCCTTTATACACCAGGTGAGTGCTTTACCAATTCAGTTAGTGAGGCAGTTTTTAACTACTCAAACTACTACTACACACAAGTCAATACCGAGAGAATGAAAGCAGTGGGACTAAGTACCGCCAAGTAGAAATTCAATTGTGAATTTATCTGTATAAATACGTATGCTGTTTTATTTTCGTTTATATGATAATAAAGAGTGCTCATTTCGTTACATTCATCCAGTCTAGTATTTCAAACACATTAGGGTAACCCAGTTATCAGTTCAAGACTCTTTCTTTATTCTCTGAGTGAATATGCAAATCTAAAAAATTGATTCTTGTTGGAAAATCAATGTTTACTTGAAAATATCACAAGAAGGAGAAATTTTGGCACTGTAACAGCAGGATTTATTGCAAAGTTCCTGTTACTTTTAACGCATGTGTGGTTCTACCTGCATTAGTGATACAGGAATTTCTTTTTTTTTGTTATTTCGTTTCTATGCTGTAATAGCGGCAAAACGTTGTTTAGAAAGTCGTCGAGATTGTCACACTTAAAGAAACTTAGTCATGTTATCAATACTTCCCTTATTTCTTGATCGAATCTATTGTTATTAGCAAAACTACTTGTATGATACTTATCAGGAAATCAAGTTTATCTTACAATACCACAGTTAGATAGGAAGAAGAAATGTTGGTATCATGCCAGGATTTATTGCAGAGTTTATGAAATTATAAACTGTGTAATAACCCTTACTTGACCTACTCAGTTTAAAATAATGCTTTTTAAAGAAAGGAATAGCATTTTCTGGACATTATTGGTAGCTTGTAACACTTGGTATCATGCAGGACTGTAGTCAAGCCACCTTGAGTAGCTCTTTTTCCCTGTAACTCTGCCCAGTGATAGGCTACCTTTTGCAGTGTTGGAGTCCCTGTGAGTGGCTTCCACCTAGAACTAAGGATATTGACAATATTTCCTTTTGGCATCCACCATATTATGAGAGAGAGAGAGAAATTTTGGCTCAATGCACGAATCCCTGTGAGCAAGGCCAGGCAGATCACACCCTAATGTTTAAGAGGACAGTAATAAAAAACCTAGACCAGTTCCTAAACTTTTTGAGGCAGGTCACTGCCAGTACTGAATGGACATAGGAACAGCTTGTGCAATGCTTGATCCTGAGCTTAGATGGTCAGGACCTCAACATTCTTAAACACCTAGATGAGGAACAGCATGATGACTGGAAAACTGTTGTGTGTCAGTTGCATAGTGGATTCAACCCAATTAAAAAATGGACAATATATTGGACTGAGTTCAAGGCTCAGAATACGATTGGCACTGAGAAACTGGTTGCCTACACAGATAATCTATGCCAATTGTATGGGTAAGTATAAGCAGGAATTATCTATGCAGATAAGGAGGACATATTGGCCAATGAGTTAATTGAGGGATTTCTTATAAAGGTACCTCTACTGCAGTGTGCTAAACCTAATTGGAAGGTTAACAACCAACCACCTTTATTGGATGGAAATGTGATGCAACCATACTTATCTCCACTGAATGGGTAGGGCTATGCAGGTCTACTCACAGAGTACATGTTGCAACAAGAGCTGTCCATGACATATATTCCAGAACAAAGTCCATCCATGGGACATGTGTCATCACAAGCGTACATGTAATTACAAGGTCCATCCATAGAATACATGCCACAGTCATGGTTAATGCCTCCACCTGGACATCATCAAGAAAGGAAGAATGAAACATCTGCTTTCGTTGTAAATTAGTGGGGCAATGGCAAAGGAATTGCCCCTACTTATTTGCACAGCAAAGACAGCAGAGCTATTGGCTCCAAGTCGATTGCTCACTGGCACCTTGCTGAGTTTCCAACTAAGCAAGAGTATCCATACCAACCACTGGATCAGCTACCCTAGAATGATCACCAGCAGCAAGTAGAAGATGTGGCGGCAAATACTCTGGAAAGCTGATAAAGCCCAAATTTGGGTTTGGCTACTGGCTTGTGAGAGCACAGTGGGCAGCTTTAGCCAAATAAGTTACTGGTTATGTTCAGCTATTTCAATACTGGGTGGAACTTGGCATGTACAGTTGAGGATATAAGGGTGAAAAGTTGAATTCCTTATTAACATGAAAGCAGAGAAGACCTTATTGGTCATCATGATCTTTCAAGTGCTATGAGTGAGACCACCACTACAGCTAGTAGATACTAACTTCATTCTGGTGAATTCAAATAGACCAGACATTAGAGGAAAAGTGGATTTCTGGCTCAGTCTAGGATATGTTGCCCACAGAGTAAAAGTATCCATTTTCACTCTCATACCTGGAATAAGCATCCTTGGGATGGGCATACTGCAGAGTTTGTCCATCACTCTTGCCTGTGCAATGGGTGATCTCATTATTCACAGGAAAGTCACCCAATGCCACCCAGATTGAGCCCAGGAACAGTGGACTGCATAAGTGTATGTACTGAAGGGAGTAATAGTACCTTCATGTGCACAAGTGGTATTCCATGGTTTAATCCAGAGAAGGTCTAATGCATGAAATAAACTGCATACAGCATTAACTCAGGCAGTTATATACCCAACAAGGAATGGGGTCTCAGTACTTCTTCTTTGTAACTATGGACGATTAGTTATCCAGATGGATACTGGAATAGCTTTAAGCATGGTGAAAAAAATGGAAGTAACTAATTTGGATCCAGAATGGTCATGATACAGAGTCTTACATATATTAATCATACAAACTCTTTATAAGTAGTTAGTGCTATCTCCTACCTAGTCTTACAATGTTTGTAACAAATAATGTATAATGTCAGAAGAAAGAAAAGTTCTAAACATTAACTCTGCTGCAAATTTAACTAAGCTGATAGAAGATGTTTAGAGTAAACAATAAACATATTAGAAGAATTATTATTACAATTCTATAGGCGAAATTATGTATGAAATAATATATTGGGATAATTTGGTTGATAACTTGTTAATTGTAATTTGAATATTAATAATGATAATAGGAGGTCTAATTAATTAACATACTGCAGTTAAGAATGAAGAGTTTAATAATTTTGATCTCGAACTTTTTCAGGATAGTTTCGGGAACTTTGATGTAGACGAGTACATGAATATTTTGTATTAAAATCCTTTTGTGTTTGTATTAA